AAATCATCATCATTATTTGTAAGAGTAAGTTCCATTTTGTTTATTAATTCAAATCATTTGAAATACAGAACATTTATAAGTGTTATCAATGTTAAGGTGTTACTAAAGAATGTTCTGTTTTGATTTTTGATTCCAATTTTAGTTCTCCAATTTAACATTCTAGAATTCTATGGAAAATACAAAATTAATATTTGTGTGACTTAAGATGGGCTGAAATTGTGACTGGCCATTTCTGCGCATGATATGTATTATTATTAGTGTTTCAAATAGGAAAATGACGGGTATTTGATCTGCGCATTCGTCTTTTCCATTGTAAAATAAATTTTAAACAATTTTGTTTCGTTAAAATGATTTTTGCATCAAAAATGACACTTTTGTCATGGCCGGTATTTTGATTAGCAATCGTCAGCCATGACCACCAGAACAACTCGCTCGATAAAGGTTAACATTCCATGATTCATATCCACTTTGTTTAAATTTTTACTTTTGATTAATAAATGTTATATTGATTAGAAAAAATTTTTGGAGTATAAAACGATTTTGCATTTAATGTTTTTGAGATAATCAAACGTTAGAATGCAGGCTATTAGCTTATAATTTCATTAGAGTTCATATATAAAATAGGATTTTTAATGTAACCTATTGATATATTTTTGAAGGAAAATAAGGTTTCGTCCGATCTACGAATGTTTCCAAATTAAGGATTCGGATAGTTCGAAACCGAAAGTTCCATTTTGTGATTATATCTCAATGGAAATTTCTTTGAGGTTTCTATCGCTATTAAAAGATGCTGGCGATTGTTTTGAGCATCTCATCCAGTGATCTTCCTGCGATGTCCTTAATATAAAAGAAATCGTCTTTTGGTTCAAAGATGGATATCAATATTAATGTACTGTACGTTAACGCGTTATATATCACATCTTTTGAACAAAAAGAATTTTTATTATAAATTATTGACAATTAAGTGGAATTTAAATCAATACAAGTTGCAATTCATTTTATAATACATTTCTTACACAAATATTATTTTCCTTTTCTTTTAAATTTAAATTATTAATTCAAATATATAAAGGTAAGATGATTATATCTTAAAATTAAAGTTCAATCTGTAGAATTTTACTGTTTAAACATTGTAAGATTATTAACAGCCATTCGAACCTCAATTTTTGTTCATATTCTTATGAATATAAATAAGTCGAAATTCTTGGGTATACATATAAACTGTACTGTATGAAAAATGATAACCACCAATCATATTTTATTGTACAATGAGTTATGATTGGCTGAAATACTTTCGTACAGTACAGTTTACAGGCCCGAAATTCTTCGGGAATGTACATCTAGTAGCCAATGCTGATATAAAAAAGTGGAAGTAAGAAAACAAATAAAATAAATAACATGACTTTCCATAACTTTTACCACTTTCAAGTACAATTAACGTCGCTTGAGAAGAAACTTCCAAGTTTTGATCATATTCATAAATATAATCTTTAGGTTTGCAATTTTGGCTACTATAATAATTTAATTATCAAAATTTTAAGATTTTATAAAATAAAAGCGATAAGCCCTTATAATTTTTGATATAGTTTCAACAATAAAAAAATAAAATAAAATAAAAAATAATTAAATCGCCAAGTCATTTTAAGTCAATTTTTTTTTTAATTTAGTCCATTAATAATATTAAGTCGAATAAATAAATTATTTGGATTTTTTTCCAGATGTAGTCTTAACTTTACGTTTTTTAACAGCTTTAGGCATTTTATTCTTTCTTTTTTCTCTTGCTTCTTCTTTTGCAACTTTCTTTCGCTCCTAAAAAAAGGAAATACGCGTTAAAAATAAAGGATAAATTAATTCAAAATGAATTAACGAATTCATACTTTTTTAGCTTCCTTGTCCTCATTCCGTTTTCCTCTAGAATTTTTCTTAGATATCCGTTCTCCTTCACTTTCTTCGTCTTCAGAACCTTCTTCTTGTATATCATCTTCGCTTTCATCATCTTGATCAATTACATGTGAAATGTTTTCTACCTTGCTCTCACTTGATATTGTATCAGGTTTTTTATCATCAATAAAAAGTTCACGATAAATTAACTAAATAAATATAATAATATTAATATTACTTTAATAAAAAAAATCAAAAAACCGATTTTGTCTAACTCACATCATCGCCTTCGCCTTTGGAAACTTTCAAAGTATCTCTTTCAACATCAAATACATCATCCAAGGTTCTCGGGATAAAAGATTTCTTAAAAACTTCTTCATCGACCAAATCTTTAGATATTTTATCAGGGTCATCATTTAATGATGTCGAGGTTTCTTGTTGAGAAGTTAATCCTTCTTGGATCTAACAATATATAACACACATAAGAAAAGTCGTTTAAAATTGCCTTTTTTGTAAACACAAATAGTTTACCTTATCAAGTTCAGCTTCAACCTGCTCCTCATCTAATCCAATATTAACATCAATGATAAAATCAAATAATTCTCTTATACTCATGGTTTTCACGCCTTTCTTCTTAAAATATTCTGTAACATTTGAAATATCTTTTCTTAAAAATTCAAGAGCGTGTGGATGACTATGTTCTACTGATTGGGACACATCAATTATGTACAAAGTCCGAGAATGATATCTGAAAATTACGGAATAATTATTATCAAGTTAAAAATTTTTGGAAAAAAATTAAATAAAACATATAAGAAATTAAAAAATATATCTGACTTACAAAATGTTATATTCGCTTAAATCAGCATGAACCAAACGACATTTATGATACATTGTTCTCATATTCTTTACAAGTTGGTAGTATAACTCTGGATATTTGTCAGAATGGATTACAGCATCTTTTAACCTAGGGTATGCCCTAAAAAAATATATAATTTTTTTTTTAAAAAAAAATTATATATATTAAAATTTTATACAAAACTTTCTCAAAGGACTTAGAATTTTTCAACATACCATCCATTTTTGTCTCCAAGGAAACTCATAACTAAAACATGCAATCTTAATACAAGAGGTTCAGGACACGGAATACCGGATTGCCATAACCTTTTTAAATTTCTCATTTCTTTTTCCGCCCATAATTTAACCATTTTTCTTGGATTATGTTTGCTATAACCATGTCTAAATCTGTATTCTCCTGTAACATAACGATCTCTATCTTTAAATATTAAAATTGAAGTTTTATAAACCTTAATGGCCCTCTGAGCACCATCTTCTGTTCTTGCATGATAAACATTTGCCTGAAAACATTAACATTTAAATTAGTTCTGTTTTTTAATAAAAAAAATAACGATTACAACGTTTCATCTTTTATGTTCACCTCTTTCCCAGTACTTATACATCCATTGATTTCATAAATTATATTACGATTTATCATCTTGAATAGAATAATCCTCGTGCGAGGGTCCAAAACTTGTTCCACAGTAGCACGATCTGATTTATCGCTATTCTTTTGCCTTTGATAATATAGGAAACAATTGCACCTTATTCATGATATGAAGATCTTAGATTAAATATTTTAAATTTATAGACGTACTTGTCGCCTTGTGCCTTTTTGTTGCTCATCTTGATATCATTAGTTACCGAAACAGATATTTGACCATCTGGAATTTCGTCTAAAAAATAAATAATGATTTATCAGTTGAGTGTTTAATTTTTATATATATATATATATATTTATAACGCTTACCAAGATGAATTCTTTTTATGTATTTGCTCAAACTTTTCATTTGATCTTGCAATTTAGTCTCAACAGCTTTTTTTCTAGATTCGGCTGATACTCCTCGAACTACTGATAATGTATTTCCTTTAGAATTAATAACGACAGGTGTTATTTGACCCTTAGCTGATCCTACCGATGCTCCAGACGCATTTACTTGTAATTTTCGTCTTAATCGATTATACTGTTTAGTAAAATCTTTAATCGACGAATGAATTTTTAAATTGACATTAACTTTGTTAACCTTAATTAAAACAAAAAAAAAAAAGTTATATTCCTTGATTACCTCCACGTGCATTATCCCAATCTTCATTATCATTCAATTCATCTTCAAAATAATCATCAAAATCCTCTTCATAATCAAAATCATCATTAAGAATTTCTTTGAAATCATCATTATCCAATTCATTATTTATTCGTTGTTCATCACCATCGTGATCTTCAGGTGCGTCATCAAATTGTCCTGGCTCATATTTAGAAATGTATGGGGTTATATTTGGCATATTTCAGTAATCCTTTTAAAACGAAAATGATGTGAAAAAAATTTTTTTTTATTTTACCCTATTTATACTATGTCAAATAGTGATGTAATTGCCTACTAGAATGGAAATTTTTTTTGTCGATTAGTAATTTGATCGGCAAGTTACGTTGCATCATTTGAATAAAGATTTTTAATTTCTAAACATTTGTTCATCCTTCTATAAAAATAGGACAGGTTGAATCCTAGACTTTTAATAGAAAGAATCTCGTAGAATCATAAACCTGATATTGAAGCTATTACAAAAATCCGCGTTTGAAAATTTCAATATTGTTTTCATTTGTAAATTGTGAGAGAACTAATTTTGACAATAATTGATACTTTAAATTACTTTTTTTATTTTAACGGTAGAAAATTATATTTATCAATAAAAAAAAGTTAGCATTCTATGATTTATAATTTGAAATTGTTGCATTACTTTTATTAATCCTGTATATATCGAATTTTGTAATTAATGTAATTTATCTTTAACATTAACGTTAACAGTCACCAGACATATCACATTATCTGAGAAGCAAATGTTTTGACGCGAACGGTTTATAATTTTTAATTTTGCAATCAATTCTTAAAAAATTTCTCCATTAACATTGCCACTAATATTCTATCACGTGCACATTTTTTATAATTCTACGCATTTAAGATTTTCGTCTTAGGATAACCCGGATTAAATTCATTTAATAACTAATCAAAACTTTAAGAAAATAAATTTACCTTGAAGTTTGCTTAATATTTTTCCACTTGAATTAGCACAGCCCAGGAAGATATTGGTTTAAACCATAATAAAGTCACATTTTCAAAAGCTCTTTTTTAATATTGCCAAATAGTACCGCGCTTTTCTACTAATTTTCTTAGTATTTTCTAGGCATTTTGAAAACAAAAGCAATGATATAATGCCTTTTTACAGTCCATTTTAAAATAAGCACTTCTCTTAATGTTGGTGTCATAATTAAGGTTAACAAAGTATTATATATAATCTATGTGAATTTTCTATGAATATTTTATTTATAAATTTGAAAATTACCCTTGAACACAATCTTCGCATTTGGATAGCCTATCGACTCAGAAGCCTCACATGTTGGTAAGCATAATGTTCTTGATAAATATTCTCTTGAGAATTAGTTTCTGATGTTTTGAAATAAATTGTAAAGAATGAATTGAATCATATTTGCGTGTAAATCTCGTTGTTTTATAATGGAGGGAATATTACTAGTTTAGAATTTCCTTTGAATCTACCTATTGATAATATTCAAAAGACAAAAAAAAAAAATTTAAATTTTGATTTTGATTTTGATTTTGATTTTTCTCTTGAAAGAATTAAAATCCTCCATCAAAATTACAGAGGCCATTAATCAAAAATTAGCGAAAGAATCAAGAAAATAATGCTGAAATTCTAGAGTATACTCTACAACAGTAAATTTTTATTCCAATAAACTCTTTATCTGTTACTTTGATGATGGATTTGCAGGTTACGGTCATTAACGAAGATTATATATCTCAATACTTGAAAGAAAAATAAATACTTATTTATTTCGGATTTCATAATGAATTGGACAAAATTTGACTTGCAAGCAAGCATTATTCCACATCGAAAAAAAATAGTACGGTACATTGTATATATTTCGATAGGATGACTCTATCTACACAGTTCATTCGGAAAAATAAGCTTCAGGACAATTTCTTTTGTATATTGTTAATTTGGATTTCTTAATAATTTATGGCAAATATTAACAAAAAAAAAAAAAAAATAACTTTATATTACGAGCCCAAACGATAAAAGTAAAATATTTAAATGGCATGCTTTGTACAAGAATAGTTTAATGAAATTTCGTCATTGGTATGAACCAATCAATATTATCCTTTGCCCGAGAGTAATAATAGTATAGTATTATTTTTAAATATCCATCATCACATGATTAATCCTCCTCCTATATTGAAATAAATATTATTCGAACGACAAAGGCTTTAGGAAAGAAATTGGTAGTCTTTCAATTAATGCTCAGCGAGAATACTTTATAATTGCAAAGTTTTTTAAAAAAAAAAAAAAAAAAAATTTTTGATTTGTAATTGACAAATTCAATCAATTGCTATTAACAAGAGGATTAAACTTATGAAAACACTTTGCCTCTTATTAGATTTTTTTTTGAGTTCGTCCTTATAAAAAATTCTTAAAAAATACTTTTAGATTCTAAAAGTAACCTTTCTAATGATACTCTGGCTCCCTATATATGGAAAGTTTAATAAAGAAAAACTTAATATTGATATTCGTTATTGATTACAATTATTAGAGAAAAGTTATACTTACCTTTTGAATTCGGCTTGATATTAAAATGAATTGACTCAAAAAATTTCATGGATTATATCATGATACAGAAAGTACCGTCTCTTTTATTTAAGAGTTGGTGAATACATCAAGATTTTTGGTAAACTGGATAAAATTTTAAAAAATGTTTTTATAGAAGAGGTCATTATTATGGAAAAAGTGATAAGAGATATTGAAAATAAATTTTCCATTGAAGACTACGAAGTAATTCAAATCAAAAATGTTGTCAACATTCGAATTAAAAAAATTTAAAAGAGAAGTAATTACGAATGGCCTTGACACGATTATTTGACTAAAATTATGATTGTTTTTATTATTAACAATTACTATCGCCAGGCATTTTTTTTATTATATAATATATATAAGAATTAAAAGTCAGTAATTAAAATTTCATTATATAACTAGCCATTAATTCAAAGTATTGATCTTAGCTGTATTTAATAGATAAAAATTTGGGACTTTATTATAGTTGTCTGGCAAACTCTCGGGATCCAATGTAAAATCTTTAATAGCAAAACCGTCGAAACTCGAAACCATAATAAAATTCCGTCAAAGTCAAAACTATATTAAAGACTTATTTAACAAATCTGTCGAAATATAGGGTTTCGACTTTTGCCATTTGCTAAAAGTGTTTTGCCAGGCAATTATAGACTTTATAAACTTACGTTATTAAAATTTTTATTTTCCTTTAGAATTTAATAAAAATCATTGTTTATTAAGAATAGGATTTTCTAAAAAAAAAAACGCGTGGTGAAATGAAAAAAAAAAGTAAAAATAATTGTTAGATTAAAAGTCATAAGGATTGTAAATTTAGATGACGTGGACATGTTCAGATAATTATAAAATTTTTCTGGATGGAATTCATTTCATTCACCTTATTTTTTGGATGGTAAATAATACACATGCAGACAGACATCATTTAATAGTGGAATATTATATAGATGAGTTATTTCAAAATACAAAATTTTAATAATCGGATGCAATTTAATTAAGTGCATATAAAACTTTCAACAATATTTTTTAAAATATAAATAACAAATTATTATTAATGGTATTCCTTCAAATATACTGATTATAGTAAAACCATAAACCCATTTTGGCAAAACTCGAAACTTTTCAGAAATTATTTCGGCAGTTCCGATGGTTTCGATGGGTTTCGATGGGTTTCGATGGTCTCGAAAGTTTCGACGGTTTCGATAATTTAGCAAATTTTAATAAAATTCGGTGGACAATCGTAGAATATAAAAAAACTATTTTTTATTTATTTTTTTATTTAAATTAGAACAAAGTTTCTAAAATAATACATTATTTATCGAGCAGGTGTTAAATCCGGAAGCATAGGAACTTGTTGAAGAATTAGAATAATTACCTCATGAAGAAGATGATGATTTTTCAAATGTAAAGGATAAAGAATACTGTCATGAGATTAAATGATTGAAGATAATGATGTAATTGGACTTGATGAAGGATATATTTAATTCAATTATAATATGTAAATTTTTTGATTTTTTTTCTTATCTTTTATAAATATATATACGATTTGTTCATCTAGTAAAAACAAAAAAATAATAATTGTATTTTAATATCAGAAGTTACGATGGGTTTTGCCACCGTCGAACTTTTGCAATTTTGCGTTTAAATAAAAAAATTTGGCAAAACGTTTCGACGGGTTTAGATTTCAATGCCTGTCGAAACCTCCGGGTTTTGCAGTTACTATAAAAGGATTTAAACCTTATATGAGGTATTTATATGTTGTTCAAATTAATGCATCAAATAATGGAATACGTAGGGTTGATATCGCAGAAAAAAAAATGAGCAATTTTATCAAGTCGAAAATAAACGATCGGAATTAATAAAATTAAAGAAATCATTACATTTTGAATTTACATATTATCTTGGCAATGGTATTTATATAATTGAGATAAAAAATACATCTTAAAATTTTTAGTATTCGACTTAACAGTAGATATTTTTTAAAAATTTTAATAATAATTGGTTGTAAGTAGAAATTTCTTATTATTGATATAATCAAATATATGCTTCATAAATCAATTAAATTTTCTTAACCTAAATAAAATACATTGTATTCTCAATTTCGGATTTGATTCTTACATACGAATTTGTATCGTCAGTGCTATCCCATTTAAAGAAACACTTGACTTGTTTGGCAATACACTTAGCATAAAAAACTGGTATCACTAGAGATATGGCAACATTACATCTAGAATTTATGTAACAGTAAGTATTTTTAGTCTTTAATAATACCGTAAAATTAATAATCTTACATATATACCTGGCAGAAACATGACATAGTTTATAAGTTAAGTGTTGTATAGCATCGACGGCAAACTTAGTTTCATTTAATAATACATGATAATACATTGGAACAGCTGTTCCAGTAGGTGTTGCATGGGACTGCAAATCTATAATATATGTTACAACAATTAGTAAACGTTTATATTAAAGTAAACATGTATAAAAGTTTTACTTACAAAAGTCAAATTCCTGAGGTACTACAATTTCAGTGTCCACAACTGTCCCAGGTTGACAATTACCACTTCTATCAGCGTCTTCTTTCCGAACAGGCATAAATCTACAATATTCAATGCATAAACTTTATAAACTATAGAATAGACTCTAAATATTTTGCCATAATAAATCATCCTACCGTACGCTATGACGTTTTCGAACGATAATATAAGTTAATTGTGGTATTTGATCCTTATCGCTGTAAACTCGATCGAAGGCGCGTTTTAGTGCCATAACTTCCTCATGGAGAACGTGTTCAAGTTTATCTTCACCGACACCATTACGGTAAAACACAATTTGGAAAGGCAGTAAATTGCTTCTTCGTTGAAATTGTTTTATCAATTCTACCACCATTCCTTCGAGATTCTCGATAATTTCATTCCCTTTCATTTCATTCATACTGTATCGCCCGACATATCTAGTAACTGATTTATCCATTGATGCACAAACTGCAGCAATACTTCTTTCGTCATAGCCACGATGGAGAACCTGTGCACCAAAAACCATATACTTGATATAAAGGTTTGATATATTAACCAAAAAATTAATATGCTTAAATGCAGAAATTAAATCAAAAGGGTACATAAATACCGATTTATTCGTTCCAAAATTGAGTTCTTTAACATCCAAAGCAGAGTTTTTACCACCCAATTTTCCGTTAATTTTCAAAGCAAGATTATTGCATATCATTCTCCAATGATTAGGATTAAGAACTTTGTTAACTAAAACACATTGAGAAACTACGCCAAGTATTGTACCACAAATCCGTTTTATTTCGGTGTAAAGGGATGAAAACCCTTTCAATATACAGACAATAAGCTGAGGTGGTCTATCTTTTCTTATCCGAGCTTTTTGGTAAGCGAGTGCTAACGCCTAGATTATAATAATATCAAATATTGAATCATATTAATATCATTAGAATAACTAAGCATTTCAGCTTTTTGGAAATAATTTTACCTTTTCAAGATTGGACTGCGGATTGCCATATTCGATAGACGGATCTGTTGAGACATTCTACATTCAACAAGTTCTTTATATTTAGTAATCATTTTGTAATGATTTCTTTTAGTTATTTATACTTACCAAGCCTTTTTCACACAAAGAATTACGCAGTATTTTCATAGAATTCCTTATTAATTCTGGAGGAAATTCACTTATGTTTGCAAACACCATTACCGACCAATTATAAATATCAGGACACTAGAATAAAGATAACTATTCATTAACACTTAAAAGATGATATAAAGTTTAAAGAATCTCTTACGTCTGCAAATCTTCTCAAATACCAACTTCCCCCTTGTGGGATAAAATTTGTACCGTTAGATGTTAGTTTTGGTGGTGGGAGAATGCGAGCTAAATCATCCGGTAAATTTTATTAATTATCATGACCAATTTTTCATTAAAAAAAAAAAAAAGCAAAAAAAAAGAAAAAGAAAAAGAAAAAAAAATATATACAAATCTCCTCATCGCAAATAATCTAAATTACCTTTAACTTTGATAAAGTCTGGATCTATAACCAAATCAATAGAACGCAAATTTTCGTTGTCGTTGGGTTTAAAATTTTCTTTAATGGCTCTTTCAATACTATCAAATCTATCCTGTGGTCTAACGGTAGTTATTCGAACCATTTCTCTTCGAGCATCAACTGGCAATTTCCTAAGATATCTTTGCTCTAAAAAACAGTTATGATATTATCAGCAAAGTTCTTATTTTCAACTAATAAAATATATTTCATACCGGGACAGATTTCGCATACTTCGATAGGAAAATATGTTAAAGACCTGTCCTGTGGTTTAACCACAATACATGGTAACTGCGCAAATTGCAGGGTTCGTCCATAAGTATCTCTGAAATATTTAGCAACTGTAATCTCTTTATTGCCTTGTTTGAATCTAGCTACATCAGCTGATTGTCGATCAACACGAAACACTCTATATTTTTGTTTGCGATAGTCTGATCTTAGAGTCACAAACACTCTGACACCTTTAAGGTACTTATTAAGAAAGTCAATTTCATTTTGATCAAGACCTTGTCTTAAATCATCTCTTGATTTTTCATGTTTTTCGCGAAATATTTTGGGTATAATATCAATTATAGGTGCCGCTGGATAAAAGGTGGTAGCACGTGTACCCACATTTATTATAAGCCTTCCTGTGAAAATTAGGTTAATTTTGTCCCATTTTAACTTCAATTGTCGTTATTTCAAAAACATACCCCATCCAGGCCTTATTGATTGAAAAAATCCATATCTCATTTCAATGCCTCCCGGCAAATAAATAGGATTGTTAACACAAGAAGGTGGAAAGATGGCCTTCATCACAGAAAAGTACTCTGATAAAACTTTGTTATTTGCAAAAGCATTTAAAGCACTCAGATTACTTTGGATTCTTCCATCCCAAGGAGTTTTTGAGTTATTTTTAACGTAATCTCTAATGGTATTAAGGATGATCTTTCCTTGATGTTTGATTTCGACTCTGAAAGTTTTTCCCCGTCCTGAACCGTCAACTCCAGGTACTGTGATCTATAATCATTTAAATATAAACTTATAAACATTACTTAAGTTAATGAAATAATTTTAATATTTATTTTAATCGATATTACATCATGATTCATTGTTTGTTTGGTATGACCTATTGCAAGTTTGGTTGGTGAATATACATGACTAACGTCATAAACTGGAAAAGTGTTTGGCCCAAATAATTCGGACAATTTCATTTGTATTACTTTGCCTTTAACTGATAATACTGTTATTCCGTTAAATTTAAAAGAATAAAAATATATTTCCGGATAACCAAACTATTAAAAAATAATAAAATGTAATTATATAAATAAGTTTTTTAATCTCATCTCTAAAGAGTAAATAAAAAAAATAAATATGATTTACATTAGTAACGCCTATGAAGTTTGCCTTCAACATAACCTCTTTACCTAAGATACCTGGCTTTTCTGGCCGCCTAGCGCGCTTCACGATAAATTCCTCAAGCATTTCACTGGAATCTAATTGATTAATTAATTCCGATATTTCCAAAACTTTGCAGCTTTCATCCTTTGTTAAAGAAGGTTCTTCCTCAGGAATTTTGCAATTATCATCTTTCGTCAAGATGGAATCTATTTCCGGAATTTCCAAAACTTTGCAATTTTCATTATCAACATCTTGAAATTCCACTTGTTTGTTATTATTTTCGAGAATTAATTGAAAATCCTTTTTTAAATTTTTAGTTACTTGCAGAAGATTATCAACGTTCTGATTTTTAATAATCGATTCAGATTCTAATTCTTCAATACGAGCTCTTAGAGAAACAATATCTTCCTCATATTTCCTGCAAACCTTTTCGAATTGAAGGGAATTCTTTTCTGCTTTAACAGTGTTTTCAACTTGTTGCTTAAGATATTCTTGATAAGAAGTTTGTAATTCTATACTCATTTTATTACCGAATTCAACAAATATTTTAGTTTGTTGTTTACCAAATTCTTCGAACACTTTAGTTTGATGTTTGCCGAATTCCTCAAATAATTTAGATTGTCGTCCGATTAAGTTTACAAACGAATCATTCGGGAGGACATTTTGGCTATTCGCAGTGTCATCTTGAGTAGAAGGTGTTTTGGAACCTTCAGCCATAATATTTACATTACCATTCAAGTGGAAGAATTGGAAGAGTGATACCCGTATTAAATAGTTAAATTAAATTACATAAATGACTGATTTTCAAAAAAAAAAAATTTCTCGTTACACAAAATTTATAATACAAAGAATGTATCATTCTATTACTGATATTATGAATTTATTTTCGCATTTTAATAGAAAGTCAATAAATCGAAAAAAAAAAAATAAGCCCTATCATTGAAAGTCACAAAAAAATGCAAATCTATTATATAAAAAAATTACAAAAAGAAATACAAGTCTATAATTTTAGAAACACAACCTGTACGTTTTCGTATGGTACGGAATTTATACCGATTACTATGTTGAGGGCTCCACTATATAAACAGTTGATATTTGTTAAGAGTCTTTCTATTCATGGTGGATTGAGCGTTTATTAAATTTAAGCAAAAATTTGTTTGAAATAAACATATGAAAGTGTAAAGAATTAACTTTCAATCCTTAGTATATGAGTTAAAATCGAGTTAAGAACATAGAAAACCTCCCATATGTTCTAAACGCCAACTATTGATCAACTATGTCGAAAGGAATAAAACAAATCTTTTAAGAAAATATGCAACATAAAAAATAAACCACTCACCTTATCTTTTATGGGAGATTAACGAGTGGATTAAGGGACAAAGTCCCTGGCTATTCACATCACTAGTTAAAATTACATTTCAGTAAAAATTTGTTGCGTCTTGATAAATATTCCAAGGTACTTAGATATACAGTATAAGAGCTACAGCTATTTGCTCACGTAATATACTGTTTTATGATTTCTTGACTCTATAACAATAAACAAATAACTCGACAATAAAATTGTAACACTTAATATTTATTCAACTTCTTAAAAAGTAAAATTTCAATAAAATAAACCGGCCGGTAACTTTAAGATGAATATTATTAATAATGTCTACATAAACATAGGAATTTCATATGCAAATCACGTGCATGCAATTTATTGGCCAGAATTTAATAATAATTTGGGCTGACACTATCGTTATTATAATTCTGGCCCGAATTATCATAATTAATTATATTATCTTTGGAATTCTTTAAAATGTCAAGTAAAACAAAAAGACAACAGCAAATTAGTAGGATATCTAGAAAAAAGGATGTTATGTATCTGAAGATCAAGTTACTGATGTTGAAGAAGAACAAATAGAGAAGGTTAAAGTTAATGAAGAATGGCCAGAAAATAAAACTGTAAAAAAAAATGAAATTTTAAAGAATAAAGTTTCTAAAGATAAAACTGTAAAATATTGAATGGAAGAAGATTTTAAAGGATTGAAAAAATAGGAAAGGGGCTTATTATTGAAGCTCTTTATTTGACATTAAGATATTACAAGCAGTATTAGAATAATCTATACTGGAGATTTAAGAATAATGCTATAGAGAAAAGGAAAAAATAGGACTGAATTAGAAAAGCATGCTAAAGTAATAAAAAAGATCAATACTTTCTTCAAACTAACTTCTGGAAATATTGAATCATCAAAGCTAATACTAATCAATACAAATTCAGATTTATATATACGTTTAAAAAAGATTAATTAATTATGTTTAATAGAAAAAACTAAAAAAAAAAAATATGGTATATTTACTTATGATATGTATAGTAAGATATCAAAAGTCATTGAGCATAAAAATTAGAAAATTGATAAAAGTAACTATTTTAAATTAAACTTCTTATTTTATTAATTAAATCACTTTTGATACAATAAGTTAAGTTATATATCTTAATAAAATGCATATATATTAAAATTTTATAATATCTAATCAGTGATAAATTTTATATTTAGTATTTTATGTAATATTTTCATATATTAATACAAGTTTATCAGTTATAATTAAACATAAAATTTTTAAGTAGTAATCTATTTTATTTATTAATTAAACTTATTTTTCATATTACTAAATACAGTGACTTCCATAATTATTGTTCCACTTCATTTAAAATTTCAAATCATAATACCCATGCAATTAAATAATAATAAAATCGAAAATTTAAACAATTTTAAAGTCTGTGACTTTAT